GCTGACGAGGCAGCTCCTGCAGATGACTCCGCGCCAGGGTTCTGGCGACCTTTGTCAGCAGCTGCATCATCAGTCAGTTTCTGTTGGTCGCCAAACTCTTTGAGGACTCTGAAGCGTTCTTCTCTGGAGAGAATGCCTTCTGCGGGTGTCCCCGCTGTTACGGCTGGCGCCGCTTTAGCGGGTGGCCCCGCAGAGCCCTTGTCCTCCTTGGCCTTGGCGGCCGCTTCTGCCCGCACCGACCTCATCCCAGCTTCGGGCTTCGGCTGCGCTTTCATTCGTGCCGAACCTGGTCGTGGTGCAAGGCGTGGCTGATGCAGTGTTGGAGTCCAGTCACCTCGGAACGCTGCCTTAGGCTTGTCGCGAGCTTCGTCCTTGACATCGCCTTGGGTCACTGGAGGCATCGGAGTCGATGGTCCAGCAAAGACCTTCTTCCTCTCTGTCACGGATAGACCAGGAGGATCTGCCGGCTCAGGGTCGTCCATCTTGGCGATCGCTCTGACCTTCGCCCGTCCCTGCGTGTCTTCGGGGCTCTTGGACGAGAGCCTTTTCGCCGGAGTCGGTGACGACGAGGAGTCGGCTCTAGGTCTTGGAGGTGGTCTGCTGCTCTTGCCTGGTCGTGGACCAGGAGGGTCTCTAGGAGGGCCTTCTGGCTGGCCATGATCATGGGTAACCTGCCTCATCTGGTCGATGTCGGCAACACCCTGTATGGCCAGCTTGTATTTGCCATTCTCATGGCGGTAGAGTACCCTCGTGATGAGCCACTTCTGCGCCGAAGAACTGCAGTACCAGCAGGCGCTTCCGTCAGGGAATGGATTCTCTGAACCGTCTTCCGCCGCCCACTCTTCATTTAGCTCGGTGCGGTCAGTGCCGGCGGCGGACCCGGCAGCAGAGGCAACGTCTATCCACTCGTCCGCAGATCCAGCGGCTGGTGCTGCTTCTGCGGGTGACCCCGCTTCCTTGCTGGATTCTGCGGGTGACCCCGCTTCCTTACTGGATTCTGCGGGTGACCCCGCTTCCTTACTGGATTCTGCGGGTGACCCCGCTTCCTTATGGAATCGGCGGTTCCATTCCTTGAGGCGGTGGTCATTGGGAAGCTTTGCCCAATTTTCCTTGACGGTGTTGGCCACCTCTTCGGTCATAGGGACGCGATCGGCCTCTGTGATGCGCTTTCCTCCTCCAGGAACCTCTTTGTTCGGATCATGGACGTTACCCGCGTCGTCTCCATGAGACCAATTCCACGGGGTTTCTCCATGGTGAGGGCTCCTGGAGGGGCGGTCCATCGGACACCTGCGCATGTGGCCTTTGAAGGGCTCACACTGACATACTTGCTTTCTGTACGTTTTGCGGTCAGTGATGATCTCCTGCTTCTTCGCCCTTTTGTCCCAGGCCTCTGGCGTCTTGGTCTTGCCGCCCTTGGTACGGATTATCGCGCCAGTCTCGTCCCTTTTGGTACAGTATTCCTTAGAATACCAGTGCCGAAGAGTATCCATAGAGTAGCCGGGGTACCATTGGATGTACCAATCCGGCACCTGCTGAGCAGATACTCCAACGGAGTGCTCAGTGCTGTATGGATAGCCCGATTCATCATGCGTAGGGCGTCTAGGAGCTGAGCGGCTCCTTCCGCGGGCTGGCCCCGCTGACGCACTACCACGTGTCACTGGCCTTTGATCGTCATGCTCTGAGTCTCGGGGAGGCGACGGTCGCCTGTCCCTCTTGGCGTACCGCATGTCCTCCGAGTCCTCTGAGCTGTCCTGGACCATGAACACGTTTTGATACGGGCTTCTGAAGTATCCGATGTCATTTAACTGCTCCATCGAGAGGTCGTTAATGTTCATTTGATCGCAACCTTGCATGAATACATCCATAGACCAAGCGGGTGGCCCCGCTGTTGTGTCTAGCATCTCTTCGGCGGGTGACCCCGCTAGAGCTTGGAGTGCTTTAAGCATCTGAGATGCTGACATGTTCGAATCCAAGTATGGACGTAGACGGGCAACTCCTGGGTGCGACAGCAGTTCGTTCATCGTCATCTGCTGCTGTGCTGGCGCACTCAAGAGTCGGATTGCTTCTGAAACCTGCTCCTGGAGCATGTCGTTATAATCTTCTTCGGATTCTTCGGAGTCGGAATACGCGGGATGGCCCCGCATTTCGTCATCGGCGTCTCCCATCTCCGAGCCAGCCCACGACGGATTTGGCAGCAACGGCATGCCAATCACTTGTGGGGCCAGCGCGGCGGTGAGTTCTTCCTCTGTTGCCGGGACAGTCTCGGCTTCGGAGACCTCGTCACCGGCGGGTGGCCCCGCTGGAAGACCGAACCAAGCATTGTACGCAATCTCATCGACCTCGTCCCAGCCGTGGAACTCGTCGAAGAGGGTCACTGCGTAGTCTTCCAGGGCCACGGTTGCTTCAGCATAGCGGGCCATCACGTAATACGTGGAGGAGCCCGCAGCGGGAGCCGCTTCTGGATTGACGTAAAACTCGTAGTCAATGTAATCTATGTCATCCATAAAAGAATTTTGAGCCAAGTGTACGGATCCCTTTCCTTTCCCCTTCGGGCATTGATCGCGCAAATGCTCTGTGCTACCGCATGTATGACACTTCATAGTATTACCAGAAGCGTCCCTAGGGTTGCCCCTCCGCCCCTTTCCCTTACCGGAGGTCCGCCTGTGACCCCGACCTTTGCCTCCGATAAGAACTTCTTCAAAAGCCATATCAGTTAAGGACGTGAGGAAAGCAGTAATACCCCTACCATGCATACGGCGTCTGCGACCCCCTTTACCACGACCCTTTCCAAATTGTTTGAAATGTCGGCGTACTGCACGTCTCACTTTTCTGACTGGTTTCTTCATAAAGCGCCTCCAACGGCGTTTTGATTTGCGATAAGCCATAAAGGCGGCTTCCGCCCTTTGCTGTTCAGAAAGGTGAGTGTCGTCCGCTGGATAGTCATTACCAGCAGAGACTATTCCATTGTGCTCATCGTCAGATGAAGTATCTGTGTCAGTGCCAGATTCAAACGGTGAGGGTGGCTGAGACCATTGAGCGGATGACTCCGCTTGGCCCCAGAGGGTTGTGCCCGAGGGCGGGCTTGCAGTGTAGGCGGCGCCTGGCGAGTAGTTCGACCAGGCGTTTGCCTCAGCTGCCTCTGCCGATACCTGGCCGGTCTGCCCTAGAAGGGCAGTGGCCTCGTTGGGCATATCGGCTGGGTCAGCCCAGGGATTTGGCTCGCCAGGACCAGCGGGTGACCCCGCAGTCGTGGCGTAAACACCTGCATGTGAGTGGTGCCCTGTGAAGATACCCGCTATGTTACCAGGAGAGCGCTCGGCAACATGTCCGTAGTTCCTCATCCTGGTCAACAGCCTGTCATAGTCTGCTTGTGTTCGGGGCATCTGATGATTGAAGGGCTCAAGCAGGTGTTGGGCTCGTGACGCGCCAACGCCTAACGCTCTGAAGAGAATCAGCGTTAGGATCTGAAAGTTGGGGATGACAAAGCCAACAGAGTTAGCCTCGTCACGGGCCATCTCGAATCGAGCTAATACTGAGTCGATTCGCTCGCCCCTTTCGACGCGGAAGTCGATAAGGGCCGTGCCAGAGTTGAGCTGGCGCTCATCTTCCAGATTTTCAAATTTGGTGCTCAGTAAGTACAGTATGTAGGTTACTGCATCCGTTGGCTGTCCATTGACAGTTACACCATAATTGATGATCTGGGAGGGGACCTGCATGGCGATACGACGAGCCAGACCTTGAAGGCCTCGTTGTAGTGCTGCAGCTTGTTGTGGTGGTGTCATATTGCCGCTCGTTACGTTTAACCATGCATGTACTTCGCGAACATATTCGCGAAAAGGCGTAGTACCGGCAGGGTCCCATGAAGGGCCAGTAGTACGCGTGTCGTCCATCCCCTGCCGCATGTATCCCACAGCACATCCCATTATTACCCACAGAATGCCGAAGATAGTTATTTTGATCCAATGCATGTGCATTTCGGCTTCGGTGATTGGTTTGGGCTGTGGTTTGTCAGGCTCTGGCGTGGTAGCCGTGAGGCGCCTGACCGGCACGGGATGCAGGTGGCCCCGCTGCGGGTAGCCCCGCAGGGTGACCACGTTCTCGATCGAGTTGCCGATTGGCATCTGGTGGAAGTCGGGAGTGAAGTAGCGCAGTGAGTAGGAGAGAGCGTCTCGAGTTCGCGGGTTGCCCCGCTAGCTCGATCGCGGACTGGCTCCGCTCCTCGCAGAGCCGGCGCAACATGGTATTCCACCGTAGTAGTAGTCCACCAAGTTGTGCCGTGGATTACAGGAATCAGAGCGAGAGCCAGCCACACGAGAGTGTAGCCAGCTCCGCTACCAAGTCGAAAACAAGCTGGTAAGCTTAGGTATACAGTCCGCCTTAGGCGCTTCCATATCCCAGGCTTAGGCTCATAGCGCATGAGCAAGAGAGCGAGACGAAGCATGGGATCTGGCGTAAAGAGTAAGATGGGCATCGTCAATGGAAAGGATGTTTTCCGATCTCAGATGCAAGTAGTGCGCCTCAGTGAGGCACAGTCACATATCAGGCCGGGCCCGGCTTGAGCCAGGCACGGCAGCGGTACATGCTCGGTTTATACCTCGCCTTTAACCTTCTCCGTTTAAAGTCCCTCACCCTGGGTCTTGGCTATATCCGATATCGTCGCCCCCGCTCGGAGATCTACCGTCTCGGGTCAATCCAGACCCGAGCCAGTCAGGTTTTGCAGGATCCTGAATCCAGGCTCTGCGGGATCCTTTAAGATCCGGCGCTCTGACTGACGCCCGTTTGCAGTGACCTCCGTGTCTTGAGCCTCCTCTTCCTCCTTCTCCTCCTCCTCTTCCTCCTCTCCTCCTCCTCCTCCTCCTCCTGCTCCTCCTGCTCAGCCTCCTCCTCCTCCTCCTCCTCCTCCTCCTCCTCCTCCTCCTCCTCCTCCTGTTCCGCCTCCTCCTCCTCCTCCGCCTCCCCCCCATGTCTTGAGCCACGACCCGCCCCGCTGGCGGCGGCGCCGGCGAAGACATCCATGGCTCGGGGATGCCACAGCTGCAGTGGTCGGGCGCGGCGGCGCCGTGGGGCCGCTCCCCGCGCAGCATCGCCACGACGTCCTGGGGCAGGGAGGAAGCCCCCGAGCGGCGAGCATATCCGCATCCGCGCCCTGACTCTTGGGAGGAGCAGGGACTGACCGTCCCCGCACTCCGATTGGCCTGCCACGAAATGCTCGTAGAACCCAACATTGTTCTAAGAACAAAAGAATGTTCTTAGAGCATGATACCAAAGAGAAACCCAAATCAGAATATTTGTTGGGGCTGTGGGGCTATAGGGCTACAGGGCTACAGGGCTATGGGGCTAGAGGGCTAGAGGGCTACAGGGCAATTGGGCTGCTGGGCGATAGGGCTACGATTATATGGCTATAGGGCGATAGGGCTATAGGACTATAGGGCTATTTCGGCTATACGGCTGTAGGCTGTAGGGCTCTAGTGCCATAGGGCTAGAGGGCTAGAGGGCTGGAGAGCTAGAGGGCTAGAGGGCTAGAGGGCAAGAGGGCTAGAGGGCTAGAGGGCTGTAGGGCTATTGGGCTATAGGACTACAGGGTTATTGGGCTATTGGGCTATAGGGCTATAGGGCGATAGGGCTATATGGCTATAGGGCTGTAAAGCGATAGGGCTACACGGCTATAGGCTATAAGGCTATGGGGCAACCGGGCACCCGGGCACCCGGGCGGGCCGCCGAAATCGGCGACGCAGCTCCTGGGCACCCGGGCACCCAGGCACCCAGGCGGGCCGCCAAAATCGGCAGCGCAGCTAACCTAACCATATGAATCCGCTAGGATCCCTACAGAGGCAAGCTCGGATTCGGAATAGGACCGATGTGTTAAAACAAGGCAGTATGAGTCAGAAATGTTCTAAGAACAGTTTGTGCAGACCGCAAAAGCCGCAAAAGGTTCTTAGAACATTCTTTGGTGGGCCTATAAGCAAGCCAAGACGCTTCGCCACTGCTTGGGCGGAGGAAGGTTACGGCCGGACCTGGGACAGAAGAACATCCTAAGTGAAGGACATTTGAGGGTACCCTGCCCCAGGATGCACAAGAACAGCCAACGAACAAGAAGAACATTTGGGCACCCCGCCCGAACCGACCTCGATCTTATACATCGGTCCAACCGTAGGAGGCAAATCCTGGGAAGCCGTTGTCAAAACGATGATAAACTATCGAGCCCGATTGAGGAGCCAGTGAGCCAGATGAGGCCAGGTTAAGCCTGGGATGAACCCGGAGAGAGTGGGATGAAGGCGGATTCAGCTGGATGAAACCGGATGAAGCGGGATTTACTTCACGAGCGGCGAACATATCCGTATCTGCGCCCTCGCGGTCTGGACTCCAGGGCATGATCCTGCGGATGGTCGGACGGATAGGTTCCGCGTCAGGCATCCGCGAAAAAACGCCCCGTACTCGCGGGGTCTCGGCCCAAGGGCCTGGCCCCACGCTCATCTCCTCTCGCTTCCCCCTTATCCCTTTCACCATCTTGCCGATGCACCCTCTTGGCGGCCTGTTTCACCATCTTACCAAGGCACCTCTGACGTGCACGGCTTCTCTTTTTGTTTCTCTCTCGCTCTCTCTCCTTCTTTCGTTCTCTCTCTCTCTCTCTCTCTCTCCGATTATGTGTCTCTCTCTCTCTCTCTGTCTCTCTCTCTCTCTCTCTCTCTTTCTCTCATACCTCCCCTCCGCAGTTCCCCCTGCCACCTCTCCCTCTCCCTCTGCCCACTCCCCGCCCCCCGTCCCTCCCCCTTGCTCTCCGCTCCAAGGGAGGCGGGCCCTTAGAGGCCTGGCCGGACTCCTCTCTGATCAGGGCTCTGGCTGGAGACCAGTTGGCGCCTTCGTGACCCATATTTGACGGCGCGCACAAGGAGGTAGGGGGAGGGAGGCAGGCTTCTTAGAAGAGCCCTGTTTCCCAGAAGGCGCCGGCCCTGCATCTACAGAAAAGGCCCGCGCCTTCTAGGAAGCAGGGGAGCTTCAAAGAAGCCTTCCCTTCTCCCCCTATCCTTAAGTCGGGCGTGTCCCCCTCCAGGGGGATTTTCGAGGAAATACTAAAAATACCCCCAAAAAAATAATCCAAAATGGCAAAAAAATACTTTAAAAAAATCCCCTGACTATTTTTCCATGTTTTTGAATATTTCTCCTGTAGAGGGACAAGCCCGACTTAAGCCTATCCCCCTCTGCGTGTGGCCAGCGTATCCTTGTACTCTCTCCGCTTCATTCGGGTCGGGCGAAAGGGTGGGATAGCAAAGGGGGGGCTTGAGAAGCAGCTCACGCAGCGGATTCTCCCGGCGCCTCCCGGCGCCGATGGCGGCTATGTATCGAGGAATGGGCCCCTCAGTGAGGCCGACACCAGCTGCATGCAGCAAATTTCGTAGCCCCCCCCCCTTCCCAGTCCCCCCCCGTTCGTCCGGCCCGCTCCACAGGGGTGCCGCCTCCCCCGCAGACGCCTCTGCAGGCTGGCTGCTGCTGGCGCCTCCTCTGCGCCTCCCCCTGCGCCCCCCGGGGCCAGGGGAGCGGGAGAGGACGGCCGGGCAGCGGGATGAAGCGGAGGGAAGGACCTTCAGGACCTTCAGGACCGAGAGCAGTGTCCACACGGTCACTGCACAGGAGGGAAGGACGGGGAAGGACGGGAAGGGAGGGGAACCCAGCTCTCGACGACATCAGGGGAAAAAAGAAAGACGTAAACGTAAAAACTCGGAGCTCCGCGCGGATTGCCTGGATCCGCGCTGGACCCCCCTCCCTGGCGCGCTCCGCGCGCCAGCCTCCCTGGCGCTCTCCGCGCGCCAGATTCTGGACGAAACCATAAGTGGTTTAGACGAAATATTCAAAAAAATCAAACACATATTTTAGAATGTAAACAAAATCAAAAAATCAAAAAACAAAAAAAAAACAAAAAAAAAAAAAAAAAAAAAAAAAAAAAAAAAAAAAAAAAAAAAAAAAAAAAAAAAAAAAAAAAAAAAAAAAAAAAACGTCCCCAGCCTATCCTTTGATTATGTATGTTTGAATGTTCCTCCTGTAGAAGAACACTACCGACTCCACCCTAGCCTTATGTCGCGCGTGTCCCCCTACAGGGGGATTTTCGACGAAAAATAAGAAATACCCCTCAAAATATCCCACAAGGGCCAAAAAGACTCAAAAAATAATCCGCGGACTATTTGACGACTATCTTTGGACTATTTTGGGGGGTATTTTCTCCCGTCGAAAATCCCCCTGTAGGGGGACACTCCCGACTCCGCCCCAGCCCTAGCTGTGGCCGTGCCGGGGGGGCGGGCCCGCCACCCGGGCACGCGGCGCGCGCCGCGCCACGGCACTCGGCCCCTGCTCTGCGGGCCCGCCGGCCGCGGGCCAGGGCTGGCTGGAGCCCCCATGGGAAGGCGGGGCACATTTTAGGGGAACAGAAAGTGACACAAACATAAGAACTCGGCGGTCCGCGCGGGTTTCTCGGATCGGCGCTGGGGCCCCCCGGCGGCGCCTCTGGCGCCGCCCCCGGCGCGCTCCGCGCGCCAGGGAGGGGGGGTCCAGCGCCAATCCGAGAAATCCGCGCGGGCCTCCGAGTTTTTCTGTTTATGACACTCTCTGTTTCCCTACTACTCTCTCTGGAGATACTCGTCCGAACGCTGATAGGGGTCATGGTTCTGACGCGGCCCACTTCCGCCCGCACGCTCCGAGAAGGCGAAGCCGGGATCGGGACACAGCTGGAGCGGGATGCAGCGGGGAGCCCTGAGATCCGGGGGCTCTGGAGGGCGTGCCGGGCGCCGCGGGCCGCCTCGGAGCGTCCCGGGACGCCCTGCAGGAGCCTCGGACCGCTCTGGGACCGGGCCTCTGCGGCTCCTGGGCATGCCGGACCGGGTCGTGCCGAGGCAAGCGGCGGAGATGACGAGCCGCGCGGCGATGCTGGCAGCGACTTGCCCAGGCCGCCCCCTGCGGCCAGCGCCCAGCGCCGTCCGAAGCTGGCGGACCGTGGCACACTGCAGCATCGGGGCACTGGCTGCTGCCTGGACGGCCTCGCCGCCCAGGGGTGCCGCCCCCCTGCAGCTGGCGCAGGCAGGCCTGAGCGGGATCGAGTCGCGATATCGGGTCGGGTCGGGAACGGATCGGACCGCCAGCGAACCGTCGCGAGTCGGATCGAAACCAACTCGCCGCGCCCGGCTCCGGCTGGCCCTGGCCGATGCCGCTTAACCGAGCCAGCTGACGGCATCCGAACACTACCCCCACCAGCCGTCGACTCTCCTGAACCGATGGCAGGCGGGGGTGGGGCTCAGATTTCGCCGCGCGCACGACGAACTCGGAAGCCTACCACCGCCGCCCATCGAGCTGGCTGAACCGTTGATCGGCGAGGGGGAGGGTTCGGATCTCGCCGCCGAACCGAGCCAACCCGAACCGAATCGTTATCGCGGGCCCAGCCCGCGATCGCGGGCGGCCCCGGCAAATGCTGAAGGGCCGCGGGCCCTTGGCGGCCGCCCACGGGAGCCGCCCTGAGGGCGTCGCGGCCGCGTTTGTGCGCACCCGCCTGCCGCGTCAACTGCTCCGCTACGCTCCGCCGAAGGGAGCGGAGGGCTGCCGAGGGAGGGAGGGCTCCGCCGAAGGGAGGGAGGGAGGGAGGGAGGGAGGGAGGGCGGGAGGGAAGGAGGGAGGAGGTGGAAACTTCGGGGAGGAGGAGGAAGGGGGGAGGGAGGGAGGGGGGGGGGAGAGGGGAGGGGGAGGGGGAGGGAAGGAGGGGGAAGGGGCGCAAGCTAGCGTAGGGAGGGTTCTCTCCCGCCCCGCGTGGTACCATGGCGTGATGGTTTGCCGCCCAGCCGCGATCGCGGTGGCCCCGGTGGTGCTGTGGGCCGGGGTGGTGGTGGCCGTGCGTGGTGCGTGGTGTGGTGCGTGGTTGTGTTGGTGTGGTGGTGGTGGTGTGGTGGTGGTGGTGGTGGTGGTGGTGGTGGTGGTGGTGGTGGTGTGGTGGTGGTGGTGTGGGTGGTGTGTGTGGTGGTGGTGGTGGTGGTGGTGGTGGTGGTGGTGGTGGTGGTGGTGGTGGTGGTGGTGGGTGTGGTGGTGGTGGTGGTGGTGGTGGTGTGGTGGTGGTGGTGGTGGTGGTGGTGTGGTGGTGGAGGTGGTGGTGGTGGTGGTGGTGGTGGTGGTGGTGGTGTGGTGGTGGTGTGTGTGCGTGTGTGCGCGTGTGCTGTGGTGTGACGTGGTGTGGCGTCTTGGTGGTTTGGTGGTGGGCCAGGTGCGTGCGTGCGTGATGGCGGTGGTGGTGGTGGCGGTGGTGGTGGTGGTGGTGTGTGTGCGTGTGTGTGTGTGTGCGTGTGTATGTGTGTGTGTGTGCGTGCGTGTGTGTCTGTGTGCGCGCGCGTGTGATGTGGTGTGACGCGGTGTAGCGTGGTGGGGGGGGGGGTAATGGGGTGGTGGTGGCGGTGCGCGTGCGTGCGTGCGTGCATGCGTTGGTGGGTGGAAGTGGCGGTGGGCGGGGCGGGGCGCGGTGCGGTGGTGGCGGGCGGATGGGCGCGCGAGAAAGAGGCCCGCGCTGGGGCGAGAACGCCATCCTGAACGACGGAGGCAAAACACCGATCCGAAAATGAGACCCACGCTGCAGCGGGAGCACGATTCGGAACGAGCGGGGCCCGAAAATGAGGCCGGCGCCTCAGCGAGAGCAGCATTTTGGAAAAAATGCAGGCGAAAACCCAACTCCCGGGAATCCTGTGTAAAAAAGCAGGACGCGGGGGGGGGGGGCGAACACTCCCAGCACGTCATCAGGGGAAGGAGGAGAGTAGCATTCATATTGAGTAATTGTAGAGGGAGGGGGAGGGGGAGGGGGAGGGAGATGGGGAGGGGGAGGGGGAGCGGGAGGGAGAGGAGGAGGAGGAGGAGGAGGAGGAGGAGGAGCAGCAGGAGGGGGAGGAGCAGGAGGAGGAGGAGGAGGGGGAGTGGGAAGGAGAAGACGAGGAGGAGCAGAGGCGATCCGCTGCATATCAGAGAAGCTCAGAGCGGGGGCGGCGCGCGGCGCAGACGGCGCCGTGGCGCACAGCGCGCGGCCGACCTCCATCACTCAAATGGTCCCTCACGGTGTCGAAGAGTTATGGGCCCTTGCCGTACGCAACAGGCCCAAATTCGAACACGACCCAAGTCGTTCCCGACTCGAAGAAGGATATGTGCCGGGCCAGTCGCCGAAGGGCTGCCAGAAAGCATCGCCCTCGAAGCGGGCACCCGAACATATAGCAAGAACGAATCCAAGCACGCAGGATGAATATCCGCAGCGAGCTCTAAGCTCAGGGCTATCAGCGGGGACTTCCAGCAGTCGTGCGTAAGGGAACCAATCACGCGAACGACGCCATGTTGTTCTCAGCCAGGGCCCGCGTGGTGGCAAGCGCTCCCCGCCAAGAGGTGCAAGCAGTCAGGGCGAAGCAGGTGATGATGGACAGGCGGTAGCACCCGAAAGGCGAGCAAGCAAGCAAGAAGCCACGCGCCCAGCCGGCGCATAGGCAAGAAACAGCCACACGGACGTCAAAAACGTCCAGGCGCGGCCGCGTCTGGAAAATCGTTGACGACGCAGGCGTTCATGTGAGAGCCTCCGATTCGCTCTGTGGACTGGCCAGGTCTTCTCCCGATTAGCGAAAGCATCATTGGATACTCGTGTCGTCTGTACCCCTCCTGGGTCCAAGGGGCGCCCGCACTGATCAGAAAGCGCATGGGAAAACCCACGCCGCCATCTGCAGCTTCGAAAAAAAACTAGCCGATCGATGAAGAAACCAGCCCCTGGGGGGAACTGCCTCGCGCGGGAAGCGGAATAGTTTGGCGGTGGTGGCATCCTGGCAATTGACAAGCACAGCATGCAGCTTAATAATATTGAAATGCGCATGCTGTATTCGAGGACGCGCTGCCTCCAGGAGATGCCAAGCGCCCAGCGGCACAGCATTGACAACAACTCCCATACAAACGACAGCGGCGAGACAATATGGGCTGGCGGAATGAGCGAAGCGATTAAATGTTGAAATACGGATGTTGTATTCGAGGATGTGCTGCGTCATGGAGGCGCGTGTTGATCCGATTGACAGCAATCGTTGCAAGTGCTTGGTGGAAGGATTGGTCCATTGCAAAACCCCTGGGCCCTGTCAAAACATCAGACCCAAAGATTAGAAGACCAGCACAATGCGCATCGTTACCCATTTCGGCATGTTGTTTGTGGTTCACCCAGTCCCAGATTAGAGCAATCAGCGGCGAAGGTTTGAAACCAGAACCTGTCGGCGATATCATACATGCCTTAAGCATCTCAGCCAGACCCGCCGCGCGCCTGAGTAACACACAGAGGTCGTGAACAGAAACCATGGCACAAATATTCCATAAAAAGATGCCCACGTCGTCAGCGCACATCCTGAAAATACCCTTGTCGGAGACGGCTGCACGGGGGCCGTAGACTAGAGGAGATGCGCAGGGAACATCAAAGGAAAGCCGGGCTAAGCGGGTCGCAATAGTCTGCTGTACCATGCCACGGCCTACTCCTCGCTTGCCACTCTTCAAAGGACACCACGAGCATGACGCGATTGAAATTGTTCGATCTCCTGACAAGATTCGCAGCGTCAGTGGCCGGAATACCAATGCAAAAACGATTGCCGGGGTCCTTGCACACGTGATGAACCCTTACCTTTCCCAGAAGCTCCGAGCGAGCGGCGGGGCGTCGTGAAGCACCGCCAGCCCACTGACAACATCGTCGAACTGGGCGTCCGCATGTGGCAGGCGTCATATCGGCCTCCGGGTAGCTTCCTTCCTGCTGGCCTGGCGATGGACTATGGCACAGCCTCTGCTTGTCTCCATTGCCCACAGATGGTTCCTGACGGCACTCGGGTGTCAGGGCTGGCCCGACGTTGTTGTCGGTGTCTTCCATTCGATGTACGACTTCGCAACGACTGTCATCATGGAGGAGGGGCGGAGAAATGGACTCGATTGCGCTTCGATTGATGCGAGTCCTCCTGCCCGACCGACAGTCAGTCAGGGTGGGAGAGTCCTCGCTGCCCTTGGCTGCAGCTTCTAGCTACCACCTGGACCAACTGGGAAAGCCATTGCCTCGGGCTGGGGAACGAGAAGGCGCCCTCCTAGGAGGAGAAGGGAGGCCGAGAGGAGGCGAGGGGAGAGGGGGGCGGAAGGTACGCAGACGCTTTCGAAGGGGGGGGCACGGAGGGAGCGAAGGCCAGGGGCGGGGGGGACGGGGCAACCGCGACCGCCAGGGAGGAATGACCTCTCTCTCTCTCTCTCGCGGCCCTCCGGGCGAGAGCGCCCCCCCCGCCTTGTGGGACTGGTGCGAGGCCAGGGACAGCGCCGTCTCCCCGAACACGGTGCTCCTTGGGGCCCAGCGCGTGCGCTTCCGCCCCCCCGCCCTCGCCCCCCTCTCGCCTCGACCCCCCAGCCTCGCAAGCCTTGATCCTCCACACCCTCCCTCGTCCACACCCCCTCCTCCTCCTCCTCCTCCTCCTCTCCTCCTCCTCCTCCTCCTCCTCCTCCTCCTCCTCCTCCTCCTCCTCCTCCTCCTCCTCGTCCTCCTCCTCCTCCTCCTCCTCCTCGTCCTCCTCGTCCTCCTCCTCCTCCTCCTCCTGCTCCTCCTCCGAGGTGGAAGAGGAGGAGGATAAGGATCGAGGATCAAGGTGTTCGCGCGCCTGGGGCCCCTTCTCAGCCTCTGGATGCCGTCAACGGCATCCATCCAGGTGCCTCTGAGGTTGCCCGAGGGCCTCTCAGAAGACATCCAGGGGTCCACAGAATCTGGCGCCTCTGGGTGGGGCAGCGGCGGGGGTGAGGGCAAGGGAGGGCAAGGGGAAACAGGGGGGGGAATTTGAGGGGATCGGGGGGGGGTCCTCCTCCTTCTCGTCCTTTTATCCTCCTTCCTCCCTCCTCCTTCCTCCTTCCTCCTTCCTCCTCCACAGTTACTAAATATGAATACTACTCTCCTCTCTCCCCTGGTGATGTCCGGGGCATGTTCGGCCTCCCTCCGCGAAAATATTTTTTACACACATGATTCCCAGGAGTTGGGTTTTCCCTTGGGCTGTTGTTCAAAATGCTGCTCTCGCTGAAGCGCTGGCCTCATTTTCGGGCTATCGTTCGTTCCGAATCGTGCTCCCGCTGCAGCGCTGGCCTCATTTCCGCGATTCCGCTCGTTCCGAATCCTGCTCCCGCTGCAGCGCTGGCGTCATTGTTTCCAGCGCCATGCCACAGCATGCGGTCCTTCCAAATAGGCCCCAAAATCTAGAAAAATGCCCCCCGAAAAAACCATCGGAAGTGATTGCACATTCGGTGTCGATTCGCTGATTTTTGGGCCCGGAGAAGCCCCCCCCCTTCGTCGGGCCCCAGGGACATGAAAAAACGATCCGGCTGGAAAACGCCGATCCACCTTGACCCCGTGAGGGGTCCAGTGGCCCAGTGCGAGCCGTTTGTTCAAGAAAGCCAGACCATCGAGACTGGCTGCCCGCCGCACTATTTCCTGACATCCGTCCTCGCCCGCCGCAGCTTCCCCCGCCGCCGCCGCCGCCACCGTCGTCTGCGTCGTTGTCGCCGTCGGCAATGTCTGTGCGTTCCCTGGAGCTTCCCGACGTCTTTGGGCCATCCGCCACGCCTCGTGCAGAGCTGTCCGGGGAGCCCACGGAGACTTGGAAGGGGGCTCGGGGAACGCAAGGCAGCGTGTCGAAAGGAAGGAGGAGGCCTTACGCTATTACAGTACCCCTTCCAGACAGCACTTGGCATTCGGAAGCGCCCACATCGGGCAGGCACGGTTGCGCAGGAAATAGAGCCAGGATTCCGGACAGGCCTTTTCCTTTCGCACACGGGCCATTGATCCTCCAAGGCATCCATTGCCATGCCATGGCATGCAATGCGATGTTGCGTCGTTGTGCTTCGCTGTGCGATGCCATGCTTTGTGATGTTACGCTTTGTGATGCAATGCTACACTACGCAATGCCAAGCCATGCAATGACATGCTCTGCTCTGTAACGCTGTTCTACACAATGATACGCCGTGCTTTATCATGCATCGCAAACCCTCTCGGGATCATTGCTTTGCTCGACATCAGCGTGTGCGCATAAAGAGGAGATCTGCGCCAAGGTAAGGGTTGGGAGGGAGGGGTATGACGACAGACCTGACGCGAGCGCACCAAGCTTGTCCCCCGCCCCCGCCCCCTTCTCCCCATCCTCCTCCTAGAACTCCTCCTTCTCCGCCTCCGCCTCCGCCTCCTCTCCTCCTCCTCTCCTCCTCCTCCTCCTCCTGCTCTCCTTCTCCTCTCCTCCTCCTCCTCCTCCTCCTCCTCCTCCTCTTCCTCCTCCTCCTCCTCCTCCTCCTCCTCCCCCTCCTCCTCCTCCTCCTCCGTCTCCCATTCTTCTTCCACCATCCATCCTCCTTACGACCCCTGGCTTGCGGGGGGGGACAAGGCGTGTGGGCCATATGGCTTTCCCACTCCAGCTGGCTCCCCATCCCTGGGGTCCCAAAGTCTGTTTGAGGGGCGGGGTCGAGGGTGGAGGGGGGAGGAGGGGGTTAGCTTTAGGTCGGGCCTGTCCCCCTGCAGGGGGATTTTGGATGAAAAATAAAAGAATACTTAAAAAAATTATCAAAAGATGCTCCAAAATACTTCAAAAAATAGTCCCCAGACTATTTTTGGACTATTTTTGAATATTCCCCCTGTAGAGGGACAGGCCCGACTTAAGGCTAGCTCGCCAACGCGTCTCATGAGCCTACTGGCCCTCGAAAAAACGCCGAGAAAGCACGCAGCATAGGTACAACCTGGCCACGAGATGGCCCATGCGTGTTCTCGGTTGGCCTGAGCTAGGCTCAGGTTGACCCAAGAGGCCCCCAAGACGTCCC